GCTATGAGTTTCCCTCTCAGGACCGCTTTTGCTGCATCCCATGTGGTTTGGTATGGCATATTTTCATTTTCGTTTGTTTCCAGATAGTTTTTGATTACTCCTTTAATTTCATCAATGATCCATTGGTTGTTCAATAGCATGTTGTTTAAACTCCACATTTTTGTCACTTTCCCAGTTTTTTTTTTTTCTTGGTTGATTTCCAGTTTCATAGCATTATGGTCTGAAAAGAAGCTTGCTATGATTTCAATCTTCTTAAATTCATTGAGGTTTGCTTTGTTTCCCAACATATGTAGACACACACATTTTTAATACTAGAGGTTCTCCTGACATGGCTGAGCAACTTCTTTTGCACCAACCTTCCTGTAATTAAAAGCTATAAACTTTGGACAAAATATAAAGAACAACTGTCTGAACACACTGGAGAAGGACCAGAAGCAGGCAGATGCTTAAGGGGAGCTGGATACTTGGGAGAAGGGGACAGCACAGGGAAGTCTCCCCCTTTTACAGTTTTTAGCCCTTACTCTGTACCATGCCAGGCAGCTAGAACTCTGATGGAAAAATTGCAGTCTTGCTGGCTTGAGGAACCAGAAAACAAAACAAAACAAGTGTGAGGGGGGAAGGGGAAGAGGTCCTGGGAGAGCCAGAGGGCAAGCTAGAAATTGTGTGTCTATAAGCTCCACCTCCTGAACCACACGAGTGCACGGCAGACTCCAAGCAGCAAGCAAGATTTAAGGTGCTGCCCATCCAGAAAATACAGTGTTTAGAGTTTGAGTCCAGCCAAGCTAAGTGCCCGCTAAAAAGAAACAAACAAAAAAAGAGCAACATTCTTGAAGCCACGTAACAGAATCCAGAATCTCCATAACATCATTCACCACGTCCAAGATACAACCCAGAACTACGGACATGTGAAGAATCAGGAAAATGAGATCCATTCTCAAGAGAATCAACAAAACCTGACCCTGAGACGATCCAAGCGTCAGTGAGCAGACAAGGATTCCAAGGCGGCTACTGTAACTATGCTCAAGGACATAAAGGAAATTACGCTTGTAATGAAGATAGGCAATTTCAGCAGAGAAACAGAAACTTAAAAAAAACTATAAAATAGAAATTCCAGAATGGAAAAATATAAAATCAAATAAATTCTTTATATTGGCTTAGCAGAAAGGAAATGACAAAATCAGTGACCTTGAGGCTATATCACAGAAATTATATAATCTCAACAAGAGAGAAGTGTTTGGGGGAAAAAGAACACAGACTCAGAGACTTAAGGGACTATACAGAGGTTTAGTATATTTGTAATCAAAGTCCCAGAAGGAAAGGTGAAAAGACATGGGGCAAGAAAATGATCTGAAGAAATAATGGCCGAAATTTTCCCATTTGATCAACGGCACAAATTTACAGATCCAAGAAGTTCAGCAAACCTCAAGCAGGATAAATACACAGAGAACCATAACTAGGCATACTTGAAAGCAGCCAAAGGAAAAGACATATCATATAAAGCGGAACAACTATTTGAAATATCACTGACTTGCCATCAGAAACAATGGAGGCCAGAAGACAATGGAACAAGATCTTTAATGTGATGGAAAACAAAAACAATCTGTCACCAGCAGACTTGTGCTACAAAAAAGGCTAAAGAAAGTTCTTCAGGCCAAGGGGAAATGATACTACATCTTCAAGTAGTAAGGAAGACCATCAGAAATGGTAAATATGTGGATAAATATGACATATTTTCCTCTTAATTTTTAAAAATATTATGATTAAAGGATTAAATTATATTACAGGACTTATAAAGTATACAGATTTCATATATATGACAACTAGACCATAAAAGACAGGGATGGTAAACTGACCTATATAGTTGCAGGATTTCTACATTTTATGTGAAGTGGTATGACATTAACTCTAGGTAGACTGAAAGATGGAAAATGTATATTGTAATTCCTCCAGCATCCACTAAAAGAACTGTGTAAAGAGAGTATAGCTAAAAAGCCAATAAATTAAAATGCAATTCTAAAATAATCACTAATCCAAACAGAAAAACAATAAAATGAGAAACCTAAAACTGTGTCAATAATTACATTTAATGTTAATAAACACTCTAATTAAAACATGGAGATTGTCAGAATAGACAAAAATGTAAGATCCAAGTATATGCTGTCTATAAGAAACCCATTTTAAATACAAAGACACAGAGAGATAGAAAGTAAATGAAAAGAAAAAGGTACCCTATGCAAACAGCAAGCTGAAGAAGGCTGGCGTGGCTATAATTCACACCAGATAAAGTGGTCTTGGAAACAAAAAGTTTTAGCAGAGATAAAGAGGGAAATTTCATAATGATAAAATGGTCAATTCATCAGGAGGACATAACATAACCTTTAACAACAGAGCTTCAAAACACGAAGCAAAACTTGACAGAATTAAAGAGAGAAATAGGCAATTCCACAATCATAACTGAAGATTTTAACACCTATCTTTCGACACCTGATAGAAACAACCAAGCAACTCAGTAAACATATAGATGTGAACAATACAAACTATCCAACCTAACTGATATTACAGAACAAATTGACCCAAGAATTTACAATACGCATTCTCTTCAAGCGTACATGGAACATTCACCAAGACAGACCACATACTGAGTAAGAACACAAGTCTCAATAAAATTAAAAGGATTGAAATCATAAAGAGGATATTCCCTGACCTCAATGGAATTCAAGTAGAAATCAGTAACAATAAGATATTTAGTGAAAAAAACAAACATGTGCTAATTAGACAACATACTTATACATAACCTATGGGTCAAAGAAGAATTGAAAAGGAAATCAGAAAATATTAGAATTGAATGATAATGAAAATATATTAAAATTTTGAGACACAGCTAAAGTAGTGCTTAAAGAAAAATATCTAGCTTTAAATATTTATATTAGGAAAAAAAAGTCTAAAGTCAATGACCTAAGACTTACCTTAAGAAGCTAAAGAAAGAGGCCGGCCCCATGGCATAGCGGTTAAGTGCACACGCTCCGCTGCTATCGGCCTGGGTTCGGATCCCAGGTGTGCACTGACGCACCACTAGTCAGGCCATGCTGTGGCAGCATCCCATATAAAGTGGAGGAAGATGGGCACAGATGTTAGCCCAGGGCCAGTCTTCCTCAGCAAAAAGAGGAGGATTGGTAAGGATGTTAGCTCAGGGCTGATCTTTCTCACCAAAAAAAAAAAGCTAAAGAAAAAAGAACAAAGTAAATCCCAGCTAAGTAGAAGAAAGGAAATAATAAAGAACAGAAATCAATGCAATTAAAAACAGTTGAGAAAAATTAATAAAGCCAAAGTTTGGTTCTTTGAAAATCAGATCAACAAAATTGATAAACCCCTTGCTAGACTGATCAGGAAAAAGAGAAAACAGAAATTATCAGAATCAGAATGAAAAAGAAATTACCGCTATATCTCCTACAGATGTTAAAAAGATAAGGGACTATTATGAATAATTTTATATCCACAAATCTGACAACTTGGGTCAAATGTATAAATTCCTTGAAAATATAACTTACGTAAATGACACAAGATGAAACCAAAAATCTGCATAGCCTGTATTTATTAAAGAAATTAAATTTGTTACAAAACAACCTTCCCATAAAGAAACTTCAGGCCTACATGGTTTCACACATTAATTCTATAAATACAATAATGAAAAAGAGGATAGTTAGAATCGGGTTATTAAAAAGTCAGCTTTAATATCAACAGGGATAATGGCCAAGAGTCAACATTAGGTAGGTTGTAAGTGCTAGACTATAAAGAAACGGAAACCAGCTCCGGTGAGATTCATTTCTTCTTCCCTTTCGAAGGCTTGGCAAATAGAGCTGGGTCTATCTGTTCCTGGGCCAGCCCTCTGACAGAGAAGAGCCTGGCCGCCCGCTCCTGCAGCGTGCCCCCACATTTCAGCCCCAGGGCCATCAGTTCACACTTGAGCCTCTCCAAACCCAGCAGCTCCAATTCTGCAACAGAGCTGAATGCCAGCAAATCTAGAGTTTCCTGACGAATACCCTGAGGAAAAAAAACAAAGAAAATATTTAAAACCAGGCTCCTTCCTCTGAATAAAGACGTTCTTTAACTGTCAACTACATTGTTTTTCAAGGAATTTTCATTTTAATTTGCCATATCTCACTCTTACATTTTAAGAATCTAAATGTTATTCCACGTGCATTCTCAGTACACATTAATAATAAACATTAATTTTTTCATCTATATATTTAGAAACAAACACTCAGAATAGTAACAGTTACAGGCGTCCCAGATTAATATTTTTTTTCCTTTTTGACTTTTCCAGCAAAAATTCAAACAGTAAAATATACCCAGCCTACCCCTGCACTATTCCCACAGAAAAGAGCAGCACCCTATCAAGCTTAATTTTTTTTTCTTTTTTTACTTAGGGAGTCGAGAAGCTTGAGGGTGGGCAGAGCTTCCCGGGAAGGCTCTTCAAACTCATTGTCCTTGAAAATCTCCAGAGTGGAAGGGAAGACTCCTCAACTGCGGCTCGTGAGTTCCATCGGGGTGTTTCGAAGGCTGGGAACGCATCCTTCAGAAATGGTGTACAGGCGTGGAAACTCGCAACTCACTGGGGTCAGCAGTTTGCTGCTTTGGATGATGATGCCCACGCTGCTCCGAGGGGTCTGCTTAGATAGACCTGTCACATGATTGCCAGCGACGATCTTGTCATTCCCCACGTCAACCACTGTGCCTCACATCTTGAGGGAGAAGAGGATGCTGACGTGGGTGACACTGGACACTCCTCGGCAGGAGGCGTCGGTCAGGAAGAGCTCCAGACTGCCGGCCAGGTCCCCAGGGATGCTCACTTCAATGGTGTCTGACGTGCACAACATGGGGACTTGGGGAGCGTGGTTATCCTCAGACAGCACCAAGCCCGGGAACACTGACACCGACGGGGCTTCTCAGACAGGGAAAGAATGGCTGCAGCCGCCACTGTTATCACGGCATCCTTCAATGTCTATGGAACTTGGTAAAAACACAAACCCTAAGGCCCACCGTGCCCCACTGACCCAGAGTCTCCAGGCCTATCAAGCTGAATTTTAATGAGATTCCCATGCCTGTGCATCTTAATTCCATAATCTTAATGCTTTCTATTCTAATCGAGTAATTAAGACTGATTATAAGAGTTCCCACGCATATAACTCAAATTCAAATGCTGTTCAATACACTTGTAATTGTTCTATCCGACAAGTAGACTTTATAGAATTTAACACAAAATTAAATACTTTTGATGAGGATGCTCTGCAAAAAATGAAAACGTTCACATCTAGGGGGTTTTAAAAAATACATCCAAAGAACAATAATTTTCTCACAGTAAGTTATTCTTTTAAATATTAAAGAGCTCTAGGGACAGACTCTTTATCTTTCTAGTTGATCTTTATTTTTTTTAAAAAGCCATCTTGTTGGATGTCTGAAGTAAGTCTTGGCTTCACTGTTTATGGCCAAACCCTGAGTCGCCACTTGTACATCTTGGGAGCATCATACCTGGTTGCACCTGGCTGGCATGAACATAGCAGCTACTACTATAACATCAAGACCCAAATCCCCACAGTTAAAGGCTCAAAGACTGCAAGTCAAACAGGGTCTATTCACTCATTCTTTATTCTTAAATTTTTCCTTTATTCATTTTTCTAAGGCTTCAGTCCGGATAAAGCTCCTAATATATACAAGTAACATAAAAGTTACCTGCTTACAACTCCAGAGATGGTGTGAGGGTCAATTTAAAGACCTTAGCATAAAAAATTCCACTATCCTCCTTAGAAAGGGAAATCTATGTATTTTTGCTTATTTATTGGGGGTAGGGAAGGTGCTGGTTAAACAAATAATGACAGGCTGTGTGTTTATCAAAGAAAACTAAGTAGTTCAGGTTTCATCTATTCTAAAAAGCAAGTCATTAGATCAAAGAGTAAACATTAAAGATTTCCGCTGGAAGCTAGTCTATTCAAGACAGCAAATAACTATTTGAGGGAAAGTATGCACAATGAAAATAAATTTTTAAAAGGCTGAATGGAGGGCTTAAGATTTAATGACAAATTAAAAAGGAGCTACTCCTCCTCTATAAGAAAGATCTTCACATGCAGCTGCCAACAAAATTGTTCAAACAGTACCTCACATGAGAAAGAAAAACTGACAGAGATTCAGTGGTAAGAAAATGAGCACATTTCCTCAAATCTAAAATGCCATCCATCATAACATGCCTTATTATTGTATGTATTAAGAAAGAATAAACAATACCAATTAAACTATAATGTGTGATAGACACTCAGAGCTATTAAAACGTGATAAACACGCATCTTAGAATTGATGAAATATGGAACCAAGGGCGCCACCTAGTGGCAAAATAATATAAATTCTAGGGCAAAAAAGAAACATAGGGGGGCCACCCAGGTGGCATTAATGTTCAGTTCGCATGCTCAGCTTCGGTGGCCTGGGGTTCGCAGGTTTGGATCCCAGGCGTGGACCCAACACACCACTCATCAAGCCATGCTGTGGCAGCGTCCCATACACAAAATAGAGGAGAATGGGCACAGATGTTAGCTCAGGGACAATCTTCCTCAGCAAAAAGAGGAAGATTGGCAACTGATGTTAGCTCAGGGTCAAGGCTCCTCACCAAAAAAAAAAAAAGTAAAGATGTCTTGGAGAGGACATGGCAAGCTTCACCATCATCAGTACTTCTGATTATTAAACAAGCCTTTCCACTAAGCAGCTGACAGGAAAAAGCACATTTGCATTTTAATGCCTTATTGTGGAGATTAAACTGATTTGGCTCTAGACATCGACCCAAAAATTTTACTTACGGTGTTTGCTGACCGGCTTTCCTCCAGTTCGGCCACGGGACTGTTCTCCCTATCTCCTCCAGGTGAAGGCTTGGCAGCGCTTTCCCCATCAGTCCTTCCTTTTGTCTCTCTCTCCTCACTCAGTCCAGCCCCAGCGGCTTCCCTTCCGATGGGTTCTCTACTCTCTGCCTCCTTTCCCTCCCGGGTTCTCTCTCTTTCAACAGCCATCTTCCTTTCCACACACTCCTCAGTAGATGTCTCTCCCAGCTCAGCACACAAGTCCTCTGAAATACCGTTCCCAGAGTCAGTCCCTCGGGTCTCTGGTTTTCCTGGTGATCTGGAGTCTGTACTCAATACTCTCGCCCTCTGAGAACTACTGGGAAATCCACTTGCCATCTCAACACCATCACTGCCATTTGTGGGAGCAGGGCAGCTCATTCCTGAAGTACCAGGTGCTGCACTGTCATCATCTGAGCTCTCAGAGCTGGACCCCTCTGCAGTCTCTAGTCCTTCCATGCCCAACCTGTCAGAAACAACCAAAAGGTTTAACGCCATTCATGCCTTCTACTTAAAAAAAAAGAGTTACAGTTTGTCCAGGGAACAGACTCTGTTTGAAAAAAAATATCTGCTAGCTCGAGATGGAGAGTAGGTAAGTTTTAGAAAAAGAAATTCCAGAGATATAAACAGAAAGAAAAAAAAAATTCAGTGAGACTAGAACCAACCATGCCAAAGACCCAAGAAGATCTCTCTTTTAAAGTTATGAATCTCTTAAAACAAAATTGATTTTGCTTAAAGTTTTTTTCCCGATATTCAACTGCTGGAAATTAGATAAAGAAAATTCTATGTTTTATTTACAACTGCCCAAAATCGGAAACTACCCAAACATCTATCAACTGGAGAATGGATAAACAAATTGTGGTACAGCCATACCAAGCAATAATACTTGGTAATAAAAAGGAATGAACTACTGATACATATAATATCATCGATGGATTTCAAAAGCATTATGCTAAGTGAAAGAAGCCAAACACAAAAGGCTATATGACATTCTGGAAAAGACAAAATCATAGGAACAAACATCACACCAGTGATCTGTGGTTGCCAGGGGTGGGGAGAGAGGAAGGGATTAATTGCAAAGGGGCACATGGGAACTTTTTAGGGTGATGGAAATACTCTATATCTTGATTTTGGTGGTGGTTTCATGATTCCATTTTTCAAAACTCACAGAACTGTTCAATCAAAAATGGTGAATTCTACTGTATATAAACTATACCTTAACAAACCTGACTTTGAAAAAAACACAATACCATTACCTTTTCTCTTAGGAACATTTAATTCCTATTTCAGAAATAACACACAAAATTCTGTGCTGGACTCACAGAGTTATATGATCTTTGGTTAATAATTATCTTTCTATCCCCAAAGGGGAGGCCAACAAGGAGGTAAGGTCCATCTGGAATTAGCATTTTCTAGAACTTGGCCCAAGGGAACTGAGCTGGTAACCAGAGGACCAACTGGGAAGGGCAGGAGAGCTATGAGAAGATTGGAGAAGAAAAAGTACTGTTGTGCTTTTCACCCACAAGTGCAAAAGTGAAGAGAGGCCTGGCAAACTGACCAGAGACTTCAAAAACCAGAGAGAAAACAGAACACCCTGGAAAGTACAGCAGTGGCTTCCACATGGAGTGTGTGAAAGTTAACTCTCTCAACACCAAATAGTAATTCAAGCATAAAGCTATTTTTATGTGATGTTTCACTGTAGATTCTATTAATGGCACTCACAGCAGAAACCATTACTGGTGTGTACAGTGTGACAATCACCGAAATCTGCAGACTGAAGCACTCTGGAAAATCTGAGCTCCCATCAAACGTTACTTACAAATGTGTTTATACCAGACAGACAAGAAGGAAACATACCATATCATTCCTCACAGATGAATTTGGAATAAAAATGAAATATACTTACCAAAAGCATTTCCTTTTCCCTGCCCTGGCTCCTTCGTCTGTGCCTGATGTGTTAGGCCGTTTCCGATTCTCCCCGATTTCTGCCGATACCATCTTGCTGGAGGCAGCCTGCATACCTAACCAGAAATGTTAACGACCTGGTTTCTACTATCAGGACTAAGTGTAATTATGGGCTCGTTATTTGTGTACATTTGTCTTTCCCCCGTTATGTCATAACCTTTTTGATGGAAAAGATTCCTTCTTATTCAGTTGAACCCACAATAGCCCTAGCACAATGCTCTGGATGCTAAAAAAATAAAAGTTGACGACAATCATTCTCATTAAAAACTGTTTTTAAAAAATGACCTAAAACTGGGAGCAAATATGCGGAGATCCAGACACCTCCTGAAGACAGGGCCCACAGAATTCAGGGGTCAAGTATGTCAAATGTTCTGAGTTTATGTTCTTTTTTTTCCTCGGCTCTAAGATACACTGTGTTCATTATTGAGGGGAGAGGTTCCACAGCTTTCATCAGATTCTCAAAGGTCTGTAACCCAAAAAGGTTTAAGAACTGCTCTTTGTATGCAGCGTGGAAGAGACTGGAACAGCTGGCTTCAGGAATGCCTGCTGACCACACTAAGGGCCCACACCACCTCATTCTCACCTTTCAGGACGGAGTCCTCCAGGCGCTCCGCCATCTCGTGGCACTGCTGCTGGTAGTCGGGGCTGGTGAAGCAGTGCCTGGGCTCCGCAAGCTTCCGCTGCAGCCGCTCCAGGCGCCTTTGCTCCTTCTCAGCCTCTCGCTCAGCTTGCTGTTTGACCCATTCAGCCATTCTGGGGATGGGAGAGACAGAGATGTAACTGAATGGATATATTACACATACGCTTTTATATCTATAAAAGCCACCCCCAGACAAATAAATGCACTCTTGTTCATACTGTTATATTCCCTCAAAGGTGTGCCATGCGTAGTACTAGCATACTGTAATGGACTTAACTAAAACCCAAAGATAATTATTAAATTATGGAAAAGGTTAAATCTGATAACAATAAATTAGAGCACAAATATTTCAAGTTTACATTTCTGATACGCAGGGTATGTGTATAATCACTACTGATAGGAAAGTATGTTTCTCTCTTCAGAAAAATAAAAACTGGTGGGCATCTTACGCTTTTTCATGATTGACATCTCGTAGTCTCCTTCCACTGAGATCCCGGCAAGCTTCTCGATTGGTTGTCTTCTCAATCTGAGCACCAAGTGCTCGGAGCATAGAGCCAAAACCTGAGCAAATACATTTGGAGAAAGCAAGGTAAAAAGTGTTCAAGGGTGGATAAATGCCAAATTTGTGAAAATAAGTATTCTATCACAAGATTCAAGGTGATTTCTGCTTTCTTTCTTTTTTTAAAGGAAATGGACATCAAGATCCTAATCGAGGCAGCAAGGTAAAAGTATTGATAAATTTGACTCAACCTCATGCGGTTTTCCCTTCCTCTTATATTTCTGAAATATTGTACCTGCACACTGGGATATTTTAGAGGGCTTTACCCAGTGCCAGAGATCCAAGATTCCCACATTAATAACTTTAAAACTTATATGGTGAGATTTTGCAGTGAGTTCAAAAGGAAAGGCAATTTTAAGCTGTCACTGGCTGATATGGCAAACTTCATTCTCATTGACACAATTTCAAACAGCAAGATGATTATAATGTGAGATGTTAGCTCTCTGAGAACCAACCTAAGTCACCGTAGATTTTGAGAAAGCTTAGGGATTACATGTTAGTGCATCAGCAGAAATATCAAGAACTGCTCACACAGTCGTCCCTTGGTTTCTGTGGGGGGGATTGGTTCCAGGACCCCTGGTGGAGATGGATACCAAAATCCACAGATACTCAAGTGCCTTACATGAAATGGCATTTGCATGTAGCCCATGCACATCCTGTCGTATACTTTAAATCATCTCTAGATTACTCATAATACCTAATACAACATAAATGCTATCTAAATAGTTGTTGTATTAAGGAATAATGACAAGAAAAAAAGTCTGTACATATTCAGTACTGACGCAACCATCATAGGCCTTTCCATCTGCAGTTAACTGAATCCAAGGATGTGGAACCTGAGGATACGGAGGGGCGACTGTATTCAGTTTTTGCTCTTTTAGTTTCTTTTTTCTCTTCTTAGATGTGTTAATATAACCAAGACCTTAATCTACCCCAATCTGTAAACAGCTGTATTTCATAAGGTGACTCTAGACCTCCCTTGGAACAACAATAACTAGACAAAATCTTGATAAAAGCAGGAGAATTGACTGTTTTTTGTGTGTGTTTTTTTTGTGTGTGTGAGGAAGATCAGCCCTGAGCTAACATCCAATGCCAATCCTCCTCTTTTTACTGAGGAAGACTGGCCCTGAGCTAACATCCGTGCCCATCTTCCTCCACTTTATGTGGGACGCCGCCACAGCATGGCCTGACAAGCAGTGCGTCAGTGCGCGGCCGGGATCCAAACCTGGGCCACCAGCAGCAGAGCGCACGCACTTAATTGCTACACCACAGGGCCGGCCCCGAGAACTGACTGTTTTAACATTCCTTCTTCAGGAAATTGGACAGAATAATGATCACCTCTCTTCATCTAATCTTTCCCAAAGTTTTAGAGCCTAGGTTGCCTAAGAGCCACCTGGCTGGAGAAGGTGAGAACTATATCAGACAATATCTTCCTCAAAAGGAATAAAAGAGAAAATATTCAAAATTAGGTGAGTAAATAAAGGATTTCATAAGGCAAAACAAGGCTGGAATACTACAGAAATCAAGGAGTCTGTTAATTTAATACGTTTGGCTAAAGACTGCAGATGTGTCACAACTAAGCAGTCACCATTCACGTCCTACCTCCTTTTCCACCACGAAGTCTGGGCTCCAAACTATAAAAAGCTCCATGCTGCACTGTGTCACTGGTGTTAACGAGTGATCCATTGCATTTCACAAAGAAGCAGTCCACGGGAACACCCTAGAGACAAGTTTGGGCTTTTTTTAATGCCGTTTATGAGACAATACAAGTTTTTTGCAGGAATGGACTCGGCTTATTATCTTTTTATTACTCCAGTTACAAGCAAATAGTGTGTGTTCAATTAATATCTGTGGAATTGAAAATGAAAACTACCAAAAGAAAAAAATCATTTCATATGATGTATTCTGGGTACAATTTTTTCCTAATACCTGGTCATGATATATAGAAGAACTTTCTGTCTTTTGGGTGAAAATAAAAACTGCTTCTTTCTCCAACAGGAAATCAGAGTCAAGGGGAAGACTATACAGGGCTCAGATCCAATAACTCTGGAGGTCCCATTTCCTCTGACTTGTTTAAACAAGTAATATCAAGATGAACATCAAGAGTGGCCCCCGAGTTTGAAACTGGCAATACACATCCTGAAAAGTGTAGGTAGAGATTAGAAGGGCGAAGGGAGGAGACAAGAGTATGGTTTTCAATACACCTACATAAGCTTTAACAGTTTTAGGACCAGCCGACAGCCGGCGCTTATCTCTTCGGCTAGCAGCCCCGAGTTACAGCCAATCATTGCAGAAGCCCAAGCATTCCCACACCCACTCTGTATATTTAAAAAAAAAATACTCAGCTCAAGTAAGGAAAAGAAAATATAAAAACTGTTAAGTCTTTCTAAACAAGTTTCTGATGCTATAAAATAAGACAACAGAGAAGTATTCTCCAAAGTTATATGGAACTTAGGAGGTACAGGATTAAATCTACAAGGTCAAGAATGAAGAGATCTAAACACCAACAGAAGGGAAAAATGCATTGCTGGTATCTTCCTGAAGTGGAAACAATGAACATTCATCCTTAACCACATCACACAGCTATTTAAACAGGAACCAGTCATTCACTCGACAAATACTAATTAGGTGCCTACTATTTGCCAGGGACTTGTCAGGTGCTGGAATACTATAGTGAGTAACAGAGTGAACACAGATCCTGCCTCAGGGAGCTTACATTCTAGTGGGGAAAGAAAGATAATGAACAGACAAATTATATTTTATGTCAAGTGGTGATAAGCAGGGTAAAGGGGACAGCATATGCGGATGGGGGTGGTGGTGATCTATTTTATACATACAGTTAGTCAAGGAAAGCCTCTCTGATCAAGTGCCATTTCAGCAGAGAATTAAAGAAACTGAGAGAACCACCATGTGGCTATCTAGGAGAACAGCATTCCAGACAGAGACAACACAAGTGCAAAGACCTGCAGCAGGAATAAGCTTAGAGCATGCAAGGAACAGCAACACATGTGGCTGGAATGAAGAACGCAGAAGGGAAGGAATAAGGCCTTAAAAACCAATGGAAGGACTCTGGATTTTACTCTCAATAAAACTATTACAGGGTTGTGAACAAACTGAGTTATGCTCTTAAAGGATCATTCTGGCTGTAAATTGAAAATAAGACTACAGAAGCAGAGCAATCAGTGAGAAGTTCTCGTGATAACCCAGGTGAGAAACAAAGGCTATTTGTACCAGGGTGGTGGTGGCAGAAGGTGATGAGAAAAGCGAGATTCTGAGGATACTCCGAAGGCAGAGGCAACAGGACTTCCTAATGCTCTGGATGAGGTGAGTGAGATCAATACAGGAATTACAGATTATTCCAAAAATTTGGTTTGACTAATGGGAAAACAGAGTTGCCATTTATTAAGGAGAAGGACATTTTGGGGAGAAAATTAGCTCATTTTGGATATGTTAGTTTGAGATGTGTATCAGACAGCCAAGGGGAGATGTCGAGTAAACTGGTGGATATACAAGTCTGGAGTCTGGGAAGAGGCCTGGGCTGGACATGTACACTTAAAAGTTGTCAGCATGTGATAGTACTTAAAGCCATGGGAATGGATGAAATCACCTGGATGAGGGAGTGGACAGCTACTAGAAAAAAGATCACAAGGCTAAGCCCTGGTTACTCCAAGGTTGAGAGATCAGGGAGATGAGGAGGGAGCAGCAAAAGAGACCGGAAAGGAGAGGCCAGTGAGGTGGAGGAGAACTGAGGGTGACGTCCAGACAAGAGAGAAAAGTGTATCAAGGAGGGAATGCCAACTGTGCCAAACGACACTGACAGGCCAAGTGACAGGAAGACTGGAAACTGCACTAGATATGGCAAAATAGAAAACAATGACGAGCATGACAACAGCTGCTCTGCTGGAGTGATGAGAACAAAAGCCTAACCAGAGAGGGTTCTAAAGGAGAACAGTTCTACGTTCAAGATATTTTCTATAAAGAAAACCAGAGAGGGGGCTGGCCCCATGGCCGACTGGCTGCAGTTGTGTGTGCTCCGCTTCGGCAGCCCAGGATCATGGGTTTGGATCCCAGGCATGGACCTACTCCACTCATCAGCAATGCTGTGGCAGTGACCCACATAAAAAGTACAGGAAGACTGGCACAGATGTTAAATCAGGGTTAATCTTCCTCAAGCCAAAAAAAAAAAAAAGAGGAAGACTGGCAACCGATGTTAGCTTAGGGCAAATCTTCCTCACCAAAAAAAAAAATAGAAAACCAGAGAAAATGAGGTGACAGCTAGAAGAGACATGGGGGTCATGTTTGCACACTGGTAGGAATGATCCAGTAAAAAGAGGAAACACTGGAAAATGCAGGCAAGAGAGAACGAATGCTACAGTAAGTCCGTTAGTAGGTGAGACGGGATGGGAAAACTGTGCAAAGTGGAAGAAAATTATTTGTAAAATAATGATAGTTCATCCACAGTAACATAAGAGAAGGCTGAATATATGACAGGCAGGTAGAGGCACTGGTGTGAGGATGAGAAATTTCTCTCCTTACTGTTTTACTTTCTCAGTGAATACAAAGTGTGGTCCTTGGGATGGAAGAAGTATTGGAGATTTAAACAGAAAAGACGTGAAAGAGTAACCAAGGACAGTGAAAGAGGGATGAACTAAGCATGCTTCCCAACCCTTTCCACACTATGGTATCCTAAAAAATATGTGGGTGACACTCTGGAGAAAATGAGCAAAGCTCCTGAAGCACCCCTAGATTCTGCCCAGCTGTCAATGGGCTACATGGGTCAATATTCTCAGCAGGCCTGCAACCCAGCAGAAGCCCACTCTGGATTAGGGAAATACAGAATCCCCCAGTAGCACTAAGGTTGGTGTCTGTGAATTTATAGTGAAACTGACTTGTGTGATTAGTTTCCCTACCATAGTCACTGCCCAGATGACAAGCAGAATAGGTGATGAGTTGGATTTAAGTTGACTGGAGTTTTCCCAGGCAAATGTGCCAGCAGGAGAGAGGAGCAAGGGAGCTCAGGCTATATGCAGTGACACGATTAACATGAAGGACTATTCTTGTCTGTAAAATACTGTCTACTTTAGAGTTGTAAAAATTACACAAATACACCTCATATTTGTCTAATGTTTATAAATTAAAAGCTACTTTAGTTTCTTTTAATATTTTATGTCTAATAAGTACAGTGTTTCTAAAATTCTAAATAACTTTAAGACATTAACGTGAAGGCAGAAAGATTATACACCACACTTGTTTCCAAACAGAACTGCTTATTAAACAAGACAAATGATTGATAAAATTGAATTTTCTACTTGTTGAGATTCTCGTCATTTAATAATCACTAGTAGAAAAAAGAACAAAGAAAATTTAGAACCAATTTAACTGTTTTTAACCATTTGTATATTATAAAGCACTTCAAGCAAAAGTATTACATGTGTCTTAGCCCAGTCAACCTAAGGACATCAGAGACAAACCCACAGTCCAACAAAGTCAAGTTCATTGACTCACTGCAACAACAGGGGGGGTGCAGACCAGAGGAATCAATCACTGAGTGTCTCACAACCACCAACGAAAGAGTTGTTATAGGATTTGGGGCAAGGGTGGAGTTTAGGTGAAATTTAAATGAAACAATGTTTTGACAGGCTCAAAACAAAGCAAGCTGTGTGTAAAATGGGCAACATCAGGTCTAGACTGTGAAGTAGATCCAGGCGCCTATTTCCTTGGAAACTACAAAGTTAAGATAACCGTGGAATGCTGTGTTGAGAAACCCCTTTATCTGAAGCTCTGCACCTGGGCTGGAAATCAAGAGTGTCTCTCTGTATCAAAGTGACAGATTCTCAAGGCAAGAGTGGGATGCTTCATTCTTCCCGATAAAATTCAAAGAGCAACATGTCTTAGACTGTGTAATTTTCGAGATCAAGGTTTCTCATTGAAGAAGAAAGCAGCAGACTTTCAAGGGAGTCATTATGACACTTCACCACTGCACTATGTCCTTTCCTCTATTAACCTGGCAGCTGGCTTCACCTGTGTCTGTTATCTCAGCCTGATGAACAGCAGGGCAGATTTTTACTTTCTCAGTGGGAGCTAACCTGAAGTTTATTATGTGTCAGCACCGTTTTGTTTTAAAAAGCTTAGGTATGAACTTGAGCTATTTGTATTTGTTCCAGTATCTCATCAAATACCCTTTCATAAGTTCTGTGTTTCTGTTCATATTTGTTATGGTCATGTTTCTCCAGTACCTAACTGAATCCATTCATTCATATTTCTTTCTTCTTATCTAAAATTATTTTTTCCAATACTCCATAATTAAGATTCGATTTTTTCTGGGCTCACTTTGGATCACTTGTCAGTTAAGTCTGAAAACTGCACTCATGAGATAAGAGGTATTTTCAGAGATACTAAAATCCAAATATTTTGGAAAATATTCCCCCATTCAGTGGTCAAAAACAGTTCTGACAGTTTTTCAACTGGATTGCAGTCTAGGAAGAAAAATGGGGAAGCTGAAAAACCACATTATTTGCAAACACACGGTGCTTCTTCGTGGAACCCGTCCAAGTAAAGATCTGATTTCGACTGCAATGTTAACATACGTTAAGCCTATAAATAACAAGCAGAGGAAACAGCCTAGAAAAGCACGGATGAGGTGTGGTTATAGAGAAAAACAGAGTTTTTAGGTCAAGTGCCAAAATTAAAATTAGATTCAGGGAGACCACTGAATTCCTTAGATAACTGAACAGGTTTAATACCTCAGCTGGTCAAAGCTTGCTTGTTTGATAATTCAGTAAACCACACCTGTAACTCTGGACGGCCATGCCAGGTTTTCACGAGACTATCGAATAATTCAGTGATGACATCTAAATGACAGGCCCTAAGAACCATGCCCTCGACAGGACACGTGAGTGAGTGCTTGGTCCCCACCAGTGACCAGACGAATCCATGTCCCTCCCCAACCAGCCTTTGGCCTGGGTTTGGATATGACAGCTCTCTAGGCTGGAACTAAGCGGGCTGTGTGATCAGGGGACAAAAGCGCGTCACAGAACCATGGAACGAATGTAAGGAAATGAGCCTTAAAAGCCACCTGGTCCAACTGCCTCATTTACGGATGAAAACACAATACCAAAGAATCTTCCGTTCGTCCAGATTCAGGGCTGGACCAAACGCCTGCGAGCGGAGGGGTTTTCACCCTTTCCGTGAGGACACAAAACAGCCACTACCACAAAACAAAAGCAGAGGAAGGCCTCAGCATCAGTTTCAAGCCCTCGGCCTCAAAAACTGAAAACCCCAAAAACCAGACGCGCCCGCGACCGACCGTCTCCGCACCCAATCCTGCCCCCCATCCGCCTCTTTCCCCTTCTTTCCAGAAGCCGCGAACCTCACCTGATCTTGGCAGTGTCGGTGGATAAAATCCCGTACGGAGCACGGGGCCGAGGTACACCGCACCGCCTTGCACCCGAAGCCGGGGCCGCGAATCCACACCAGCGCCGCCGTCTCCGCCATTTTCTCTCGTCCCGGAATCTCCGGAGCCTCCCTGTGCGACTAAGCGCCTCCACCAGTCCGGCGCATCGTGATGACGTTTCCCTCGCCGGCCAGCGCCCCGCCCCTCACGCCTTCCGCTCGCCCCGGCCCTCCCCTGGGGCCCGTCACGTGATCCGGGCCGCCAGGCCGGGCTGGCGGGGGGAGGGGAACAGGAAGGGCCTGGCGGAGGCAGATAAGACGGCGGGGCGGGAGGGCGAGGCGTTGCTAGGGGGTTGCTAGGGCGGGGCTCGAGGGACTCTATAAAAGGCTGGCTCTGGGGTTAAGTTTCGAGCGTGCTGGCCGTCGGCGATAAGGCGGTAGCTGAGCGCCGCCCTGTGCCGCAGGCTTTGGCCCTTTTCCTTGCATCTGTGTAGTTATTTTTGGGTCGCGGGGAGTGGTGGCCTGAGAAGGCGCTGCTCCCTGAGGGGGCGAGGAGAGGAGCTGCAGTCCCGGAAGCGGTTTTGGGGGGCTGCTTCCTCAGCCCTGGGGAGCTCCCCCACCCCTATGGGCAAGGGAAGCGACCTCAGGAGGTCTCTCAACAGCAGCCCTGGGGGGGTTTTCCTCCCCCGGCTTACCAAGCGTTCTCTTCCTTTGCAGAAACTGCCAACCTCTCGGTTTCTGCCAGCCACGCTCAGTTTATTCTCATTTCCGCCTGTTTGCGCTCTGCGTTATCTCCACTTCAGCTCTGTTTTCAAAATATTTCCCAACAAGTGGGCCCTTGTGAAAGGCAGCGGCAGGAGTGACGCTTCCAGTCCTGCTGGTTCAAAAAAACCCTGCCGTAACTTTTATGCTGCACCATGGAAACACGCTCGTACGGGTTTGAATAGCATCACTTTAAGGCTCTGGGAATCTGAAGGAGTCCCTTAATATTTAATATGCTGAGATTATGGTATTTCTAAAATCCTGAACAATCTAAAAGCCACTAGTGTGAAGATAGGATGGTTATTAGGAGATATCTGTGTCTATTAAACACGAATGTATCGGCCCACAGAATCGAATTCTCTGCTGTTCAGACACTTGGCAAACGAAACTCTTTGCTGAAGGGAAAGCAACAAAAAATTCAGAAATCATTTAACTGTGGCGGTATGAACAAAAATAGGGTCTCAGAGCCTGTGAAGTTAGAGATTCTGTTGTCTTGATTTCACTTACACAGGAGGGAAAATGAGAAAGGGCCTCCCAGGGGATTCCAGCAGACAAAGAAAAATTACGCAAAATAATAAAGATGTTGTGTGTAGAGAGCAGTGTTTTGCAAAGGGGGTGTCATGGTGACCCTGGGGTTAGTAGGTTCTCACCAAGTTTATACAAGCAGGCTGAACTCCGGAAACCTCGAATCTTTCTGCAATCTCCTTCCCACGTCTCTATTCTCAGGGTCCCTGAACAAGTAAACTTCAGAGACCTGAGCCCTAAGCTGCTGCTTTGTTTATTCGTGGTTTCTTCTTTCTGGGGATCAAAAATGGCTATTTCCAAGGTCTAGGATCTTCCTCCCTTACAAGTAACCAGATAAACGAGAGTTTAGGTTTACATAACATTTTGTTTCAGGGCAATGATTTGTGTACGGTGTGGATTAGTCCTTTCTAATAAGGAAAGTCCAGATCATTTATTACTAACATTATATCTAGTCCTTCCAAAACCTGAAGTCTGAATGAGATTGTTCACTTTTTATTCCTCTGCTGAGTTTAAATTCCTATTATTAAAAAATTGCAGGGCCGCCCCGTGGCTTAGCAGTTAAGTGCATGCACTCCGCTACTGGCGGCCGGGGTTCGGATCCTGGGCGCGCACCAACACACCGCTTCTCCGGCCATGCTGAGGCCGCGTCCCACATACAGCAACTAGAAGGACGTGCAACTATGACATACAACTATCTACTGGGGCTTTGGGGAAAAGAAAAGGAGGAGGATTGGCGATAGATGTTAGCTCAGAGCCGGTCTTCCTCAGCAAAAAGAGGAGGATTAGCATGGATGTTAGCTCAGGGCTGATCTTCCTCAAAAAAAAAAAAAAAATTCCAAATATTGAATAGGCATTTGTCATTTAAAATATGAAATAACTATTGTTAACTTTTCAAAGACAGATTTGTTGAGCAATATCTAATTTATTGTTAAACTTTCACAGTGAGCACGTAGCACCACGATGAACACAAAATAGACATTAAATAAATATTAGTTGGATATTTGATAAATTACTAAGGTAGAAAGTCTAATTATTCCCACTATACATCAGAAGAAACATATTTTGCACTAATATAACACTTTTCTAAGGCTGCAGAATTCATCTTGGATTGATCGTTATTAAATTCATTTAAATAACGAGGAAATTGAGGTATCTAAAGTTATGGCTATGGCCAAGAACATGGTGCACATCAGTGGAAAAAAATCTAGAAAGACAGGTAATTAGGTGGGTGGCTGAGAGCATGTGGTGGTGTCCAGCAGACAATGTTATGCAGCCAGACAGGTCAGTGGTTATGGAAAAGTAGGGACACTGCTGCCACCTTCCCCACCTCGTAGTGTTAGGTAGGGAAGGGACAGGAAGACACATGTAGGGTTGTGACAACTAAGTGGTGAGTGAGTGGGTGGGGGCCGGTTCCTCTACTATCAAAATAGTGTAGCCATGCTTCGAGGACCAGATTTGGTGTTATGGCTTTGTTCCTGCCCAGGTTCTCCTAAAGATTGACTCTAGCTATACGTTTACTGTTGGAGGACTGGTTCAGCCGCGTTGAGAAGGACACTGTGAGAGCATCCCGAGGCGATGTGGAATAATTGTTCACTGCCAGGAAATGACAGAACCAGACAATGCTTGTGTGGCAACCCATGACAGGGGCTCCATTGAGCCAAAATGTCACGCTGGTCTGCAAGAACAGGAAGCAATTTTCATAAATGACAGCGAGTCTCCTAAACTAGTGAATTCACAGGCTGTATTCATGTGTGACGTTCAAGTCGCGCTTCTGTGCCTTCAGCCAGGTTCGTGCTCAGGGGAGACGTAAGGAGGTTGCTAGTGCCGTCTTTATGACAAAAGACAACAGTACAGGCTGACTCCTCCCATGCCACACAACTGCTATAAACTCCCGAATTGGCAAGTGTTGGCTTATAGATGGCACCAGCCCCAGGAACGCTGAGGTCAGCTCCTAGGGTGGAAAAACAGCCTCTGGGTGAGAGCTGTGTAGTCCACACTGGGTGGTGGATGGTGTGCGAGGTGGAGCCTAAAGCAAGGACCTAAGATGTTTGGCTGCCAGAAAAGGCACGTCTCCACCCTCGTTCCTTTATTGAACAGAAGAAAACAGGACACGTCAAGGGCGAGGTGGAGTTGAGACATAGTAGAAGAGGTTTGTGTTTAGCACTGCCGCTGGGAAGGAACACGAGAGGGCAGAAGAGAAAGTGCAGAGCAGAGATCAAAAGCTGAACCCACAGTCAGTGAGGACCCACAGTTAGAAGCCCACCTTTTTGTAGTATCAGCAAGAAGAAAGGATCTTCACTCAGGCTGGGCTTACATCAATTAAATCTATCACTCCTGATCGCCCTAGAGGTTATCTTGTTTGCCTTATCACGATAGCACTAGTTTTCAAAGGCTGATAGCTTATCATCATTCTCACGTCACCATCAAATAATGTTGATACATTGAAAAATTTTAATTTCTGTCCTGTTATTCACTGTTCTAGAACTGTAAAGCAAAACTGGCATAGCACCCATTTTCCAGAAATTTAGTAGCTCAGCACTGGAATTTTTTCAACGTTGAAATTTAATTTCTCTCTAGTCAATAAAAATCCATAATCCTTTATGGACTCTGCGTAGCCAAGCCTTTGAAAGGGGACTTCCCTGCTGGAGAAGTGATAGGTCTTTGAGGGGATTTTTTTCTTTAATTAGTTGACATTAGAGCATGTCCACTGTATTAGTCAGGGTCCTCCAGAGAAATAGAGCCAATAGTGCATATATATGTGTATATATATATATAGAGAGAGAGAGAGAGAAGGAGAGAGAGAGAGATTTATTATAAGGAATTGGCTCACACCTCATGCAATTATGGAGGCTGACGAGTCCCAAGATTTGCAGGGTGAACGGGCAAGCTGAAGACTGAAAACCCAAGAGAGCTGATATTGTAGTTCTAGTCTGAAGGCCAGTAGGCTCCGGGCCCAGGAATTCTCCCTTACTAGAAGGAGGGTCAGCCTTTTTGTTCTATTCAGGTCTTCAACTGATTGAACGAGGCCCACCCACATTAGGCAGGGCAATCTGCTTTACTCAGTCTACCAATTCAGATGTTAGTCTCATCCAGAAACACTCTCACAGACACACCCAGAATATGGTTTAACCAAATATCTGGGTACTTCATGGCCCAGTCAAGTTGACTCATAAAATTAACCATCACATCCACTGACTGGGGTTATCTTTGATCAAGAAATAACCTTCACTATTTTATTTAATTTTTCTTTGGCAACTGAAGAGGAAATGTTATTTGGTGAATAGAGAGACTTATTAAAAGTCAGATGTTTCTTACTCCCCAGAGTTTTTGCTGTGTGAGTGCAGGAAATTCATCTGACTGTTTTGTGCATCTGCTCCTAAATGTCAGAATTCATCTTTGACCACAGGGTGTGGTCAAAGTTCATAATCGTGAAATTCTTTGAGGTTTTTTTGAATGAAAGGTGTTGTGCCCTATCAATTGAAATGTCAGGAGTCATTTGGCAACTGAGTTATGATTCTAGTTTGAATAAATTAACTAAATTTATTTTGATAACTCAGCTGTCTGGCTAACTCATCTACCTAAAATACGTTTTTTTTTTTTTTTTTTAAAGATTTT